GACCTTTAGGAAATGCAAGTTCATTGCGAGTGTGATCTTTTGCTTCCATAAATGGAGAGCTTGGACGCAGAAGGGGCACTTATTTGGGCAGGATGGTACAGTACCCACATTTTTGTCATTTTCCCAACTCCATCAGAATAAAGCACCTGGGACAGGAGTGTTCATGGTTGACCTTCCCATCCCACCAGAATAATGACCACTCAAGGATGGCAACCTCTTTATCACTGGGCAGGACTTCCATCCTCGAGGTCTGCTTTCCAACTGAAGGCCCACTATTGGCCTTGCCAGTGTCTGACTGGCATTAGATTCAATGGGCCTTCCCTGAAAAAGACAGCATAGCTCTCACTGGCTGAACAAGATTCCATCTACATTTACTAGTTCCCCCTTAGCCACCTACTTATTACATCCTCAAAAAACCAAAAAAAAAAAATTTGACAAAAGAAACAACATGCTAACTGTGCTTGATTGTACAGGGATTATCTAAATGTCCTGACCTGCCACTACCTTGAAACAATAAATGCTCTCTGGTCAGATATCAGGCTCACTAGGGTACAGTTTCCCGCTTGCCATCTCCTCCTGTCTTGAATTGAGTTGCCACATTTGCAGTTTTCCAATCCACTCTGATCTTTCCACAACTTAGGGAATCTTGCAAGATTATATTCAAATGCGTCTAGTAACCCTGCAGCCACTTCTAAGACTCTAGACTGCAGGCCATCAGGTTTTTCAGCCTTAAGTACGATTGGAATTTCCACTACATTTTCCCCATTGTATTTAAGTTCACCAACCCCTCCCCCCTCCTTTTAATACTAACCTTAGGACGATTTTTGTATCCTCTGCCATGAACACTGATACAAAACACTTGTTCAAATCTTCCGTCCTGTCTTTGTTTCCTACAATCTCCAATCTCACCCTCCAAAGCCATTTACCTGTTTGTATATTTATATCAGTTATTCCTGTCCAGCTTTAAATATTTTCCTACCTTTCTCCTCATGCTCCAATTCCTCCCCCTCATTATGTTTCAAATACTTTCTCAAACTTTTGGCCTACTATTAAATCATCACAGCACTGCACACCTTTTATTCCAGTTTGAGCCAATCCTTATCTGTCTTAGTTAGCTAATGATTGTAAGGATGCACAATGTGGTTCATTTATGCTTGCTAGAATATTGCATGCCTTTATATGGTGGGACCCATCCTCTGCAAGGAAGGGGAAAACAGATCAAGATTTTTCATTTAATTCCAAAATTGGCCCAAGTAACTGTTCTCTATGGCAACACGTATAACCAAGCTTAACTAACCAATCAGCACCCTCCTCACATAGTATAAAGTTTTGCTGGCATTCTTGCACCTCTCCTTTGAGTGCAAGATAAAGCCGTCGGCAGCATGGGTGTTTTTTGTTTGTTTTCCCGCCTCCCCTCAGAAATACTTAAATTCTGTATTATCAAAGAGACTAATAGCAAATTCTCTTGAGCAACTTTCTTTTTAATCTCTTTTTGTGACCCATATATTGCACTGCACCCACAATTTCTCCAATGCTGCTACATAGCTACTCATTTCAGGCTCATGGGAATCTCCACTTCAGAGCTGGAGTTTCTATCATGATTATAGAGAAAGTGTACCCAGAGTGTTCAAAACACATCTCAGTGGGCCTATCTGTGGAATGGACAAAACTGCTGTTCATAGAATATTTTGATTATATTACAGTATTGCAGAACAAATGACAAAGTAGAGATGATTGAAAAATAAGTGGAACACTATTGTAGCTGTCTTGATTTTATTTTTGAAATATGATTAATAACTTCCTTCATTATACCAATTGCTTTCCACAGTCTATCAAAGATTTTAACTGCAATGTCCTCCATGTACTAATAACCCTTAATTGACAGAAACCATACAAGTATTCCATCCAAAACATCATCCTACACGGTGAAACCCATTTAAAGACTCTTCCCCAACCATCAATACAAAATTCAACAGCACACTAATCCAAAGAATGCCTGAAGTTTTAAATAGGTCACTCATCTTTTCCAAAGCATATTCAAGATCAAGAGAGAGCTTGAAACCACAGTATTGGTAAGCATTTCACAGCATTAAAAGAGGTATTGTTGGCATGGGCCTTTTATTTAAAAAAGATAACACTACCAAATGTTAAAATGACTACAATTTTTTGTTTTAAAAAACATACATTCACCATGGAGGCGATGAACCCAAAAAAGGTACATAATTCAAATTCTACAGCCAAATATTCTGCACTCCAACATTGGACATGTGGGCAAAAATACCAATAGCTGAATTTCTTCATGCTGCATTCATAGCTTGCCATATAAAATATGTTAACATACCATTATAGCTACATTAAAAGCAGGATTTTACCCCCCCAATTGTGTTTCTTCTGACAGTCATTTTCAGTGGGAAGTTGCTATAGTCACCAAGTGCAAGACCTAGGAGTGGGTACATTTTTCATGCTGTCCAGATTTGCATATTTTTCCACATACTAAACCAAGAACAGCTTTGTTTTGAAGTTTCTTTTCCTCGAATGCATCACAGATCATCTGTCATGTGAACTAAGAATGTACAGATCTGAAATACCGATTACTATAATCACACTCTCTCTCAGGTTTGCTTACTGAAAAAAAAAGGAGCCACGACTCATGGCTTTGTTAGAACAAAGGAAGGAATCATTGCTAATCTCTCTGTAATGCTGGCTATTACCTCCAAATATTGCACAAGCTTTGAAACACATTGCTTGCTTCATACTGATTCTGCAAAAACTAATTATTTGAATGAGTGGACAGATGATTGCTGTTTAAAAAGTTTGTAAAGAAAGTAACTGTTTTTAAAAAAAGGTGACATACCATACCTACTCTTAATGTGTCCAATAAAATATGGAGTGAAAAATCAACTCTGGGCTTACCCAACATTTATTAAAACCACAAGAAAGAAAGATTAAACACTAAGTCATTTCACAATTATAAGCTGAAGAAACTGTAGAGAAACAGCTGGTGCAACATTCCATTGTCGTATAACGCAAAATTTTGATTGAACGAAGTGCTTTTCTGCCAATGAATTTTTGTGGATTTGCAGCAGAATGCTAAAAAACCTTTCAGTGCAGCATTTATTTTTTAGACAAGAATGTAACTTCAACATTTTAAGTTTTTACCTTCATAATAGAAGTCAGTCAAATTCAAATTTGATTTTAATTAACACATGATAAATTAGGTGTGATATTTGAATGAGTTTGATCATTTATAATGTGAAACATCTGCAACATTAGAGCTATTAATAGAGCACCAATAAAAATTCCTTGTTAAAAGGAACATTGAGTGTTATACAGTTTTTGCATCTAAAACCAGTTTGAGTTATATCACAAATGAATGGGGTCATTATTTCAGATTGGGAGAAATTGTCCTAACAATGCTGCCCTGAATCACCACCTATATATTTTAAAGAAAACAAAACAACCAAAAAAGATTATTTTTTTTTTGGTTTTATGTCCCCAGTACCAGAATGAAACTAAAGTTGAGAAATCCAAAAGAGCTGCCAATTGTATGAATATCAGTAATAGCGACATCTATTTAGATCAAGGTTCAGGGTTATCTAAAGCAGAGAACAAAGAATTCTGCCTCAAAAGAAACATAGCGAGCCTTACAGGTTCCATTAACCGACCAAGGTTACTGATCAATCATTATTACCTTGGAGTACTACAGACCTGCCTGGATCCAGTATCAGGTTTTGACTCTGCATACCAGGCATCTACTGACAACCTCATCACTCTAGGACTGTAATCACGCCAAAACAGATGCTATTTATGTATCTTCTTTAACCCTATCCAGGAGAAAGTCACCAAGTTCTCAGAGAACAGATAAATATGTTTGAAGCTGGTCTCAGTGGTCAGTAAATTCCAGAAATAAACGTAAGAAGGGAGAGTGCCATAAACCACCTTCACAAGGCATGAATACATTAATGCTATCCTCATATCTACAGTTGATGCACTGCATAATTCAATAAATTATGCAAACATAGCATGTTTATGTGATCAAAAAAATTCAAATTAAACCCCATCCTGTATGTTTCCTTTCTACAGGAAAGTGCCTTCATTGTGAAATTAGGAGCAGTAACAATAAGGGAATGTTGCCATAACTTCCATCCTATTCAAGAAAGGATATTTTTGCTCTCTTCTGGAGATTCTTCTAGTGAAAATTGTTGATTCTTTCTTAAAATATTTATTCACATTGAGTAAACAAGCTGTTCTTATTTTAAAAGATGAAATATATATCTAGATATATTTTGATAATTTACAAGTTCATTTTACTGTCCAAAGGCATTGTAGTAACAATTCTATCAGACAGCTGAAGTCCGAATATCTCTACTGTAAAACTTTTCAATGAATGAGGATTGGTGGCACAACATCTACACAGACGAAGCTTTTATTTCAGAAGTGTTGAATCAATTTAACCCTTTGCACTCCCAGAACAGAATGGACAGCTGGACATCAACAGCACACACAGAAAAACCCAGTTTCCCATTAAGCCTTCAAAATATCTTGTTTATATCAATCAGTTCACAGTTAATCCTAGTTTCACCCACAAATCGATTCTATAAACCATGACTAATACAGGTCTTAGAATCCAGAGCACCAATATTATCATTGCAAATCAGACTGGTCTAGAAATGTTAAATCTTTCCAATTCCTTGATTATACTACAAAAATAGGAACTACATTGAGATTCATAAAATACATTCAAATTGACCAATGTATTATATTCAACATGCTCAAGAAGTAAAACGTGGGGTGGTGCTGAATAACAAAATAAAAATCCTCCAAGGATCCACTTAACATAGCTTCAGACTGCCAAAAGAGTTTGATCTAGGTTTGAATTCTGGTCACAAGGATAAAGGATAACGTCTTACACAGTGTCCCAAAAGAAAACAGTGTTTTCTATTCAATACTTCACTGCAAATAATTTACCTGAACACGTTTATCTAAACCGTGTATCTTACCTCATCGAAGTTATTGTCATCTTTCTTCAAGGCTTAAACAAAAAGAGAAATAGAAACATAAGGTAAATTAATGCCTAGCTTGCGAGTAACTTCCCAATAATCCAAGTACCTACACTCACTTTATACCCATTACCCACATGGGCAAAGCAGAGCTTTTAGAAAACCTCCATTCGGACTTTTTTTAAAAAAAGGAATTCTTCTACGCACAAGTGTCTTTATAATAACGCAAGCTATTTTATTAGCGGTACTGCAGATTAGAGTATGCACAAAAGGTTCTGAATATTTGGAGGTTTCTTCTATATTAGAATACATCAGCAGCTTGCTTTATAAAACTAACACCGCACAGAAGCGAACACTGTGATAACTGCGCCAGCTAGCTTTACCACGGTGAAAGTGTTCATCTTTAAGGGAGAGGAAAAAAAAACTAACAGTCAATGGACATTTTTTTAAACCTAAAGAATGAACACACTTTCCAGAAAGCGAAACTAAAGGCTACATTTCACCAAGTGGTTAAAAGATCAAAAGCTTCAGTAATTAATACACTCACCCAAACGACTAAAACTTTCAGACAAAGTTCTTCTCAACTTTTTCATTCTGCCGATTTTCTCAGTCGACTGCTCTGAAATCATATCACACATCTCCGGCAGAATGGTCCAATCTGGTGCCTCTCTCTCGGTAAATGTCTGAATGGGGAGTCGAAAATCAAAATATGGGTTCCCCCTTCCCCCTTTAAAACAAATAGCAGCAAGTGAGAGACGAAACAGTGGGCTTAAGTTTGAAGGCTTCCCTCCATCCTCCTGTCAAACGCAGGAAGTGTGTTCACAGCCTCTCGGCGTTTTTCTTTCCCTACAAGTTCGAGATTTTCCCTCTCTCTCTCGACAATTCTTGGCACGCCACTAAGACAAAGTAATTCACCAAGATAAGCGGCGCTGGAATCAATTCTTCTGTATTTCGAAGAAGGCGGGAGGGGAGGGGAGAGGGAGAGGGAGAGAAAGAAAGAGCGAAGAGGAAGGTTTGCGCTTTGAGTGATAACCACTGTCAGCTCTGAACCAACAGTGAACAGGCAGTTCACCCTCTCACAGCCTCACTAAGCTGGGCTGTCATTTTCTCCACAAGTCAGAGGCACTCCGGTACACCAAAACCCATCCCCTTTCTCCCGATTGGCTCTCTTCCACAGCCCTTCTCCCAATCTATGGACCGACAGCACGTCAATCATTCTGCAGCCCGCCCCCCCCGAAGATGCAGGCTCCAAGAGTTGGTTGCCACCCAGATATTTCTCTCAATTTTTTTGTTGTTGAACTGTTTGGTACAGTGGAGAAACATTGTTCAGCTGAAAACGATAGGGGTTACTACCTAATTAAATGGGAAACGATTTATTTAAAATAGATGTGGAGTGTTTATATTTTATTTAAAAATTGTGTTCATAATAAACTGTGTAGAAAACCTCCCAGACCCAAGCACTCGGTTGTAAATCATCTCCCATTTATTTGTTTTAGATTGGGGAATGGCCCAATCTCATTAACTTGATGACATCACGGCTATCGACATTGGTGCTTGAATAAAAATTACAGCTCTCAGAAAGTAGCCTGCAGCCAGCCTGGTAACGACATAGTAACAACATCCTTAAGATAGGACAGATTTAAATTGTCTGCTTACCTAATGATGCTGATGCTCCCCGTAACTGTATAAACACAAGTAGCAAGAAAACACGCTCCTGCACTTTTTCTTCTTGCTCATACTCACTCTATTAGTTTTCTTTCAAGTTGGTCCGCCCTCCGCCTTGGGCATTTCATCTGATGTTTCAAAACAAATCAAACGATTCCAAACTTAAGTTTATTCGCTTTAACACAGAAGCTACATTAGGTCACATTTTCACTGATAAGGTGGCAGTTAATGTTTCTTTGTTCAATTAGAAGGGGGATGTTGGGGAAAGCATATCTCCACATACTGACTGCGATATTTTCTTTCATCTGACTTTTAATTAGTAACTTCCGTGTCTGATTTATTCGTCTTAGAAAGAGATACACTGATAATATTCAAAGTTGGCGAACTTCAAACTGTTTTTCTAAGTGTATACCGAAGAAAACGTAACGAGGATGTTTACTAATTGTACTCTGTCATTCTGGGCCCTCACCCCCCCCCCCCCGCATCACAGAACTGATGGGAGAGTAGACTAGGGGAAAGTTCACAAGGGCAACATTTCCTCCAGGCTGCAAATTACTTCATCATCAACATCGTAATTCAATCATAAAGTGGTTAAGTAGGCCACGGAGCATCAAAGCTTTTCAGTTGACATGGATAAGGTTTTCGATCTGTAAGTGTCTATGAGGCCAGGATTCTGCACATTTTTTTTTATATCCTGGGGAATCTCGTCATCCTTTGTTATCTGATTCTTCATTCCTGATTAAATGCTAATAAGGTTTTCTTTAATTATACAAACAAAGGCTTATTATCAAATCTGCAATAAATAGGGTGTACTAGTAGTTATTTATCAAGGCATTAATTGAATTTTAAAAATTCACAATGTTTTCATTATAGAGGGAACCTTTCTGAATTTTTTTGGGCTGTTATCAACATGTACTTCCAGCCAAGTATGAGTGTTTGCATCAGGCATGCTTCAGTTCAAAATTTTCCCAACAATTATACTATTAAAGCATTATGACCCCACATAGTTGACTGTCACTAAGTTGCATTTGTTTCTAGAGAACATCATTACTATTTGTATCCATTTCAGTCTTCAAAGGAATTTCAAGTAAAAATAGACAACTTTGGCTTCATGTTGTTCTTCTCCCAATATATTTCCTTATCAATCTGTTCAAAGATGTTATTACATAAATCTGGAACAGCTAGGTCTTCAACCTGGGTCTCTGGCTTATTGAGATAGAGAGGAATTTAAAAGAGGTTGCGTTATTGCTAAAGGAGAATATCATAGCTTCATGGAGGGAGGCCATCTTGAGGGCCCATTCAGTGACGCCATATAGGTAGAGCTGAGGAATAGGAAGGGTGCAGTCACTTTGATGGGTTTATTCGACAGGCCTCCCAAAAGCCAGTGGGTGATACAGGAACAGATAATGTGGACAGATTATGGAAACATGTGAAAACAACAGAATAGTTGTGGTGGGTGATTTTAACTTCCCCTACATTGACTGGGACAAATTTGTTAGGTGCATCAAGGAGGATTTTTGAAACAGTCCAAGTGGGGAAAGAACCATACCAGACTTGGTATTGGGGAACGAGCCAAGCCACATGATCAAAGTTTCAGTGTGGGAGCATTTCGGGAACAGTGACCATAATTCTGTAGGTTTAAAATTACTAATGGTTAAGAGTACTACTCGAGTGAAAGTACTCAAATGGGGGAAGGCTAATTACCACAATATTAGGCAGGAATGGGGGAATATAGTCAAAACAGTGTGGAACTGGAGGAACACCGTAGGTCAGGCAGCATCAGAGAAGCAGAAAAGCCAATGTTTCAGGTTTACACCCTTCATCAGGTCTGGCAAGGAGGAAGGGAGTGGGGCTAGGGTAAGGGAGGTGGGATGGTGATAGATGGATGCAGGTTGTGGAGATAGGCCATGGGAAGGGTGGGGTGGAAGTTGAGAAAGAAGATAGACTGGTTGTGTCAGGTCAAGGAGGCGAGGATGAGAGGGAGGTTTGGACAAGGGATGAGGCTGCGGGTGGGGAGATTTCAAAACTGGTGAATTCTATGTTGAGGCTATTGGGCTGTAAGTTTCCGAGGCAGAATATAAGGTGTTGTTCCTCCAGTTTACGTGTAGTATCATTGTGACAGTGGAGGAGGCCCAGGATGGACGTGTCACCCAGGGAGTGGGAGGTCAAATTAAAATGGTTGGCAATTGGAAGGTGTTGTTGATTATTGCGTACAGAGCGCAGGTACTCCCTGAGTCAGTCAACGAGTTTCAGCTTTGTCTCACTGATGTAGAGGAGACCACATCAGGAGCAACAGATACAGTAGACCAGGCTGGAGGACATATAGGTGAATCCCTGTCGGATTTGGAATGATTGTTTGGTGCCTTTGATGGAGGTGAGGGGGGAGGTGTAGGGGCAGGAGTCGCACTTCCTGCTGTTGCAGGGAAAAGAGCCGGGGGTGGTGGGGTTAGTGGGGAGTTGCAGACGAGGGAGTTGCAGAGAGAGCGTACCTATGAAAGGCAGATAGGGGTGGGGAGGGAAACGTCTCTATGGTGGTGGGGTTACTTTGCAGGTGGTAGAAATGGCGGAGGATGATGAGCTGGATGTGGAGATGGGTGGGGTGGTATGTGAGGACCAGGGGGACTCTATCCTTATTTTTGTTGGGGGGCAGGGGGTTTGAAGGTAGAAGTGTGGGAAATGCAAGTGCTGCAGTGGAGGGCATAATGAATCACCAGAGGGGGAAAGTTATGGTCCTTGAAGTAGTGGGACATCTGGGATGTCCGGGAGTGGAATGCTCTGTTTTGGAAGCAGATGCAGTGGAAGCGGAGGATTTAGGAGTGTGGGATCGCTTTCTTGCAGGAGGGTGGGTGGGTGAGAGAACGTTTAGTCCAGGTAGCTATGGGAGTCGGTGGGTCTGAAATTGATGTCGGTGCTGAGATGGTTACCGGAGATGGAAATGGAGACGTCCTGGAAGGGGAGGGAGGTACCGGAGATGGTCCAGGTAAATTTGAGGTTGGGGTGAAGGGTGTTAGTAAAGTTGAAGAACTGTTCAAGCTCGCCATGGGAGCACAAGGCAGCACTGATACAGTCATCAATGTAGCGGAGGAAGACGTGAGGAATGGTGCCGATGTAACTGCAGAAGAGGGACTGTTCCATGTATCCTACAAAGAGGCAGGCATAGATCAGACCCATGCTGGTGCCCATAGCTACCCCTTTAGTTTGTAGGAAGTGGGAGGAGTTAAAGAAAAACTTATTGAGGGTAAGGACAAGTTCCGTTCAGCAAAAGAGAGTATCGGTGGAGGGGGATACATTGGGCCTGCAGGAGAGGAAGAAGCGGAGGGCTTTTAGGCCCTCCTCATGAGGGATACTGGTGTAGATAATGGATATCCATGGTGAAGATGAGGTGTTGGAGGCCGGGGAATTGAAAGTCTTGTAGGTGGGGAGTTCCTGGACCGGGGGGATAAAACGGAGTCGAGGTAGGTGGAGATAAGTTCAGTGGGACAGGAGCAGGCAGAGACAATGGGTCGGCCAGGGCAGTCAGGTTTGTGGATTTTGGGAAGGAGATAGAAACGGGCGGTGCGGAGTTGGGGAACAATGAGGTTGGAGGCTGTGGGTGGGAGGACTCCTGAAGTAATGAGGGTATTGATGGTCCAGGAGATGATGGTTTGGTGATCAGGGGTGGGGTCATAATCGAGGGCACAGTAGGAGAAAGTGTCCGAGGGTTGGCGCCTGGCCTCAGAGATGTAGAGGTCAGTACACCTTACCACCACCGTGCCTCCTTATCCACGGGTTTGATGGCGATGGTGGGGTTGGAGCAGAGGGCTGCACGTTCTGTTGTGGGAGGGAGGTTGGAGTGATTGGGAGGGGTGGAGAGAATTAGGCAAATGATGTCACAACGGCAGTTCAGATGAAGACATCAAGGGAGGTTAGGAGGCCATGGGGTGGTATCCAGGGGATGGGGTTTGTTGGAAGCAGGAATATGGGTTGTTAAAGGGAGGGTTAGACTCACGGTCAAAGAAATAGGCGCGGAGGTGGTGGAAAAAGCGCAGAGGAGGAGGCAACAGAAAAAAACTCCAGCACCTACAGTTCTTGCTATCTCTGAGTGATTCTACTCCAGTGTCTACAGTTCTTGCTATCTCCATAGGGGAATATGGATTGGGGTGGCCATTTGAGTATAAGTCCACATCTGTCATGTGGGAATCTTTTAAAGGCCAGTTGATTACAGTTCAGGACTTGCAATGTTCCTGTGAAAATGAAAGAAAAGGATGGCAAAATTTGGAAACTTTGGATGACAAGAGAAATTGAGATCTTAATCAAAAAGACAAAGGAAGCATATATAAGATTTAGGAAACTAAAGAAAAACAGAGGTCTCAAAAAATACAAAGATAACAGGAAAGAACTCAAACAAGGAGTTAAAAGGAGCCATGAAATGTCCTTGGTAAGTAGAATTAAAATAATAATGTGTGAATAGGCAGGGAATAGAGGAATACAGACTGCATAGAGGCAAAAGCTTTTTAGTTTAGAAAGGCATCATCTGTCGGTGAAGACTTTGTGGGACAAAGTTTTTTGTTCTTTTGTGCTCAGTAT